GTGTGCCTAACTAGTATCCATAACTCCTCTGCAGTCTTCGTCAATCCCCTATTCCCTGTTTGCCAGAAGTTTGCTGCATAGGCTATTTGAGCGCCTTTCGGGACCCGGCTGATAATTTCAAAACCTTCTGGTATCTCATCAATGTTATTCTTCCATCCTATCAGAATGACATGTATTGTATCCAGGATTTGTTCACGAAATCTCTTTTGTTTGTCCGTCCAAACCACCACTCTGTGCAGTTCCCTTGCTCTCTTCTTGTCCAGAGCCTGGGGATGTGTGTGTAGGGTAGGCCAGTTACGAAATGTACTGATGTCGCATGCTGTAATTTCCGCTAGATGTTGTAAAAACTCGTATGCCAATGGTTGTGTTGTTTCTTGGCGAACCTCTGATACTACCTCCTCGAGTTGTTGCCACCATGCTGTAGCATCTGTTTCGCCGTCTAAACCCTAAACCCTAAAACCCTAAACCCTAGTAGTAGTAGTAGTAGTAGTAGTTGAGTTTATTAGAATGCTAGGTAGGTTGCATGGCTTGTTTTCACCTTGCTCTATTCTAGTCTAACAGGGATCTCGTGACCTGGCAGTTCGGCCCGACTTGGCTGGCCCCTATGGCAGCCGTGCTTCTGCTCTGCTCCCTCCTCTGATATACTTCAGTGGTCTTCCCCGGCCTCAGCCAGTGGCGTTTTCTCCGCCGGCCTTGGCCTGGGACGTCCGTGCTTTACTTGTGTTGCTTTCTCGGCTCCGACACACCTTTGCGGTCTCGGCCGGCCTTCGGCCAGTGAGTGGCTGATGGATGAGGTGGCAAGTGGGTTGTGGATGGGTCCCTGGGACTCACGTCCCTTAACCCGGGCCTCGGTCCGGACCGGGCCCGAGAGCCCGGCCGGCCTTCGCCCGGCCTCCCCCTCCCCCACCGGCTTACCTGCCCTTACCTTCGTTGCTTGCCCCATGTCCACTCTTGTCCACCTCTAAGACTTGACTCGAGCCTCAAGCGCGCGAGAGGCCTGCGCCAGCCTCCTCCTCCACGCCCTCGCCCTCCTCAGCCTCCATGTCGACTTCCTCCCTCATCATCAGCCGCAGTCGGTCTTGCTTGTCGACCTTTCCCGTGCAGCTCAACCCATGGTGCTCAGCAAATTTACTGATCGCAAGAAACAAGAGGCTCTCCTGCTCGAGCGCATCAGTCGCTGCTGCCCTTGGAGAGAAGGCGCTGCCCCTCCTCGCTGCCTTGTTCCCTTGCACCCGTGTCCAGCGCTGCTCGCCGAGGTATGCTCTGAGCTTTTCTTTCAACATGTTTCGCTTCGATCCCAACGTCGGCGTGGCTGCCCAAGCTCCGAGCGTCATGAACTCTACGTTGCCCGGCGAGCAGAAGGTGTCATGCAGCTTGCCAACACTCTTGTCTAGCTCCAGGGAGATCGGCTTGCCAGCTAGCAGCTCCTCCTCTGATGTCTCCAAGAGCATCGTCGAGAGGTCGAGCAAGACCTGTTGATCGACTGGCCCTGACGGCGACGCTGCTTCCATGGTGATCCTGTCGATGTCGCTGAGCTCCAGCCATCCAGCGCCTTGCTGCTGCCCTTGGGGCTCTTGGGCTTGCTCCTCGCTGCTCGGGCTCCTCTCCTCCTCATGCTGAGAGCTGAGCTTAAAACCCACCGCCTCCAGCTTGACTTCTAGGATCCCTTCCAAGTAGAAGGGCATGTCGTCAATCAAGCGTCGAGCCTCTGCCTTGGTCGCCAGGGAGAGAGCTATCGAGCTTCCGTCTAGACCTCGACGCTGACCGGCGTCACGCCTATCCTTCTTGCTAACTCCAACATGGCTCGCTTGACTCTCGTGATCGATGTGTTACCTCCTCCGCACAGCGCTTCCATCTCCTTCCTCGAGAAGCGGCCTGTGCTCATGCTTGACCTCGACTTGATCTGTACTCTAAAGCTGCTGCGCCCCGCATGATCTCTCTCGCGAAGTGCCCTCCTTTGCTTAGCAATCTTTCCCCTAGGAACGAAGGTGTCGGCTGTGAGCTCGACTGCAAACGTCTCTCTGAGCTTTTTGCACCCCCTCCATCGCCTCGCTGTCTCTGAACGAGGCCAAGGTCTGCTCGCAGCTTGCCGTCGAAGGCGAGCTCAGCACCCACTCCAGCTCTTTTTGCTGGAGAGTGCCCGTACTTGCCCTACGTCTTCGGGCTCGGCCCCTTGCGACCTCTCTGCCCAGGACCCTGCACGAGCATGCCCGCAAGCGGTTGTACCTCTGCGGCTGCAAGAGATTGCGAGAGCAGCTGAAATCGATAAATTTGAGCGATCTCGGCCGTCGACATTCCTCCGAGAGCTAAGAGCTGCGATAGCTCGGCAAGGCTCCCTCCCTTGCCCCAAGGTCCTCGCTTGGCTCGCGATGGCGTATTCTCTCCTGCCTTCCCATAGCTCCATGGCTGCTTCATTCCGAAGGAAGGAGACGGTGACTGAGATGTCGTCTGCTCGTGCTATCTCAGGTCTGTAAGGTGCTTTCCACATGATGGCCTTGTCGACTCCATCGACTGAGTCTACTATGAGACCCAGTTCCATAAGCTTCGATTGAACATACATCGAGGAGATGCCCAGGAGAGTCATGGAGATGAAGGAGGTCCCCTCGGTGCCTTCTGTGCCGATGTATGTCTCGACATTCTGCTTCTTGGCCTCCTCCATCTGTTGTATAAACCATGCTCTCGACTCTGAGCTCCATGCGCTCAGAGAGTCTTCAAACAGGTCGCGTCTCGCCTGCCGACATGTCGAGCGGATGGCTTCTGCGATAGCGTCGGGAGTGCATCCCCCCTCAGCTCTGCAAGCATGAGCTGTCCTACTACCAGGATACCGCTTCGCGAAGTTCCTCACCCTCTCGACGAGGTCGGCGGCCTCCTCGACGTGGCCTCCAGAGCGCTCGCCCTGCATGTATTGGCATGATCTCCGATACAGCAGGTTGCGAACGCTCTCATCATAGTAGTCGCAGACGCACTGCGATTGGAGCACGGAGCCTGCCTTCCTCCGGTCCCCTTGCGCTCTCCCTACGCGCCGCAGAGCAGCATGCCTCTGTCAGGGGCCCGGTCCTAAACCCTAAACCCTAAACCTGGGACTCACGTCCCTTCCCCCGGGCCTCGGTCACGACCGGGCCCGAAAGCCCGGCCGGTCGCCGCCCGGCCTCCTCCCCCCCCGCCCCCCCCTCCCCCCTCCCCCACCGGCTTACCTGCCTTACCTTCGTTGCTTGCCCCGTGTCCACCTCATTTATTTCTTCCTCCTTCCCCCCTTGGGGCCCACAGCTCCGCTCCGCCTCTTGTCCACCTCTAAGACTCACGCGCGCGAGAGGCCTGCGCCAGCCTCCTCCTCCACGCCCTCGCCCTCCTCAGCCTCCATGTCACTTCTTCTTAAGCATCAGCGCAGTCGGTCTCGCTT